CCGTTTCCCTCGAAATCTGAGAAAACTGTATTTGCCGCCAATACGAAGTATTTTCTGTGCATGCAGGAAGCACGCGAAAACGGGCAACATTTTAAGACTTCCGGTTCAAATTCCCCACCCCGTTATCAAATGCCCCACCACATGGAAGCCTTAGAACGTCAAATTCCCTACTCCCTGGAGAAGACTTGAAGTCAAATTCCCGGGGTATGCCCGGGGGGGGGGGGATGGTGAAGTTTCGAATCGATCGATACATAACTGTATATCAACACGGAAAATGTTTTATATTTGTTAATTATATAATTTAATATATATCAATAAATAGAAGTGTGACACACTAAAATAAACACATTTCTCCACGAACAATGACTGGCCCTTGAACTGAATGCGAAGTTCCGTGAAAATGCAATGAAATTTGTTCCAAGGTTCTATTCGTTTGAAATTGGCAGTTTAAAATGGCACTAAAAACCCAATATAAAATATAAAAAAACTTAACTGTCTTGAAATATTTTGTCGGGCGGTACATTTATATTGTATAACAAAATATAAAAAATTTCACGCGGCTCTTAAAATACAGTCGGGCGGTGATGAGAATCAAGGAATTTATTTTATGTGGCCTAACGTTGCGTGACCACAAATTGCGGCTGTAGTAGTAGTGAACACCATAGGTAAGGGAGCATTCATTTTTTAGCTGGGGGGGTGGGCCGGAGGAACTGAGGTGTAATTCCATGCTAAAACTTGGAACCCCCGACAGAAAAGATGATAAAAAATTATGACCCCCTATTTTTTTTACTGAAAAATTTTTTGACCCCCCATCCTAACTATTAAATCCACACAGTGTCGTTTCCGTAGCGTTTTCATTCATTTTTCACACAAAAACGGATAAAAATGAGGTCAATTGACGAAAGTCATGGAAATGTTTTTCTATGGACTGTGTAAACAGAGCATCAAACGATAAAAGTGATAAAGACACATTTGAAAAAGCTCGAAAACGATACCGTGTGCACATAGGCTTAAACAATTGGAAGCTGACACTCGGAACTACCTTATTCATCTTGTGTATAGCGTGACCGCCAACTGCCAACTTTTCGTCCATAACGGTTTACTGTTATCTCACCCACTGGAAAGTCATCCTCATCGCTATCCTCATCCATTATCGCATCTCCAAATGAGTCATGTTCTCTCGAGTAACCGCCAAATACGTTCAGTACTTCATCATCACTACTGGACTCTTCTGAGCTGCTACTACTTTGTGAATCATGTTCTGACTGACTGAAAGGAGCTTGCGAGGTTGTTGCTTTGGCATTTGATATTATTTTCTGACAGATTCTCTGGCTAATGTGAGCTGACAACAACTGAAGCTTTTCTGCTTTCGTCAGCTTCCTGGTGGTCAATTTGTAATGCTGCACATACTTATCAAGTTCGCATACTTTAAGATTTTTCAGCCTTCCCGTTTTGTAAAGTTTCTCCCAGTCATAGTCACTGTAAGATTTTGAAGCTTCACTCACCTTCAACTTCTCCTTTTCTTGCTTTCGTTTTAATTTTCTTAATTCTATGTTGGTTAGGTGTTGAAGATATTCCTCTATTAAATCAACCCCTACAATGTACTGTTTTGAAAATGCTTCAATTTCCTCACTGTCACCAAGTTTTATGTCTTTGTTAAAAAAACGTTTTCGCAATTGTGCTCTTGGTTGGAAATCGTCGGGCTCTCTCGTGCTATCATCAACATTTATGGTGGGAGTTTTCTCTAAAGGGAGATAATGATGAGAAGGAGAAGAGGTGTCTGGAAAAGGACGTGGCGTTCGCTTTGTAGACTCAGGGCCTATCCACTCTGTGCAGGCATTACATGATCTTCCCACTTTCGACAAGCAATCTTTCTTGAGGAACTCCATGTATAACTCTCCTCTTTCATAATGCATCTCGAAGAATTTCTCAACTTTCTGGAAGTATGAATGGCCAGGTACTTCAGGCCGCTTCGTAGTTGAAGTAATGTTGTATTTCGTTAGCCACTCCTTGTTATAAAAGAATTCGACACCAGGTCTTTCCGAGACGGCAGATGCAATAAAACCCTTTGGTGCTGGTTCTCCATTGATACGAATATGAACCTCTTCCGCAACTCGCTATGCATTTTTAACCATCCTGTTATTCTCAAATTCCTCTACCTCTTTAAGAGACATTTCAGCTACTTCATCTTCTGTAAGCCCTTCTAATTCTTTGTAATATTCCCAATGTAAACTTCCCCCATCAACCAGTGCATCGCCAATGCATGCATTACTTCTCTCTGCTTCATTCTGGCCTGAGTCATTTGTAGCGCGGTGAATTCTAGTTCGTCGATCTGATTTGTGTAGCATAGCAATTTCAGCATCTCTGAACCTTACTTCAAAGTTGCTGACTCCGACACCTGGTCCCCCATCTGTAAGTTCCAATATGTTGGGTTTCACTGGAGCAAGTTTATATTCGGAAATTTTTTGTAGCAACTTATTTCCAAGATTTGTAAGTTCTTCATAAGTATTCCAAAGACTATCTCCAGATTTTGTTTGAAGATCATCTAGAGCCTTTTGAAGTCCCTCGGTGAGTTGAATTATGATGTCTACACCAGTAAGTTCATTGCCTAACAAAATTTCTGCTGGTTCCACATGTACCTTTTCTAGCTCCCATATCTCCTTGGCCTTTTGAAAAGAATGCAATAAATGTTGAATACGTTTCTGCTCATACAACATAAAACAGCATTCTGGTTCCCCAGTTACACAAAGGACATCTTCCTTCATATTCGTCTGAATAAAATATCCAACGTTGTCCTTTAAAACAGCACATAGTTTCCGGAATGGAATTGAGTATTTATTATAATCCAAGTCCGAATCAACTTCAAAGAGATCAGGGTGTTCATGTCTAAGGCGCATGTAATCAGAAGCCCAGGTTGTTCCATCGCTTGGAACATAAAACTTTGAGCGCACCATAACAACAGTTTTGTCTTTCTTTGTCATAAGCACCTCCTCGTCACCGACTAATTCACCCTCTTTCTCAATAAAGCGATGCGTAGCTGGAGTAATATACACTTTGGGATTTGCAAAGTCATGTTGAGGAAGCTTCCTGGCCCTTTCTTCATTTATTGGTTGAAAAATCACTTGATTTCGTGCGCCGGTCATTCCCACATCTGTTCCCGGTCTAATGTAGGCTTTATCATCTTTGCTTATGATGAGATTAAAATGCCACGCATCTTTGTTTTTTATTCCAAACATTGCATGCTTTTCATTCTTTACATGACATCGCTGGTGATGCGTGCAAACATTAGATTTATCTTCTGTTTTGGGTGGCTTTTTTGCACAAAATAAGCCCTTTCCAATATGTCTCCTCGACTGAAGGCTTCTCTTGTTTTTTGGTCTAGAACGATTGTAGATTGTTGTACTAGAACGTATTGGCTTCTTTCCTAACTCTGTCCGGTGGTAATTAACTGTGTCTCTAAAGTCCTTAGTTTTCATCCTGTGATTTAAATAAAGAACAGAGTCATGACGTCTGCCATGGGCTGTGGCTTTGTCTTCGATACATTTTACAATGAATTCTTCATCATCACTGTCAACTTTTCGCGAGGCTCCCTGTCCAAGTTTTCTACGCTTTGTGCGATTTTCTTCTACTATCTTGTCAGCTATTCGTTTCACTCCCTGTTTGAACTGCTGCTTGCCATACTTGCTTTCTCTTTTTTTGACGACTTCTATTTCTGCTAGTCTTTCCTCGTGTAATATTTTCTTCTCTTCAAGGTCTTCTATTCGCTTTTTTGGCCAATGATCTTTCTTCTCGGGTATCAAAGCATTAATGTTTTCTAATTCCCTTGAGATTTTATGTTCTCGCTCCTGAAGTCGGGAGTTCAGCATGTCGATTGCTGCAAGTTCTGCATTTTTACTTTCATGAACAACACCATTTACATGTTTGACTGCCTTAACAGCAGTATCTGGTTTTATCCCTAGTTCATCCAAGTCTGAACGTGATTTATTAGCGCTTAGTAGTACCTTTGCACATTCTCTATCGTACTCAGTGTCCATAGATCTTAAAACATCATGTACAAACTCTGCAGACAAAACAATTCTGTTTACGGGATTCTTTTCGTCTGTTGTACTTGTTTCTGCTAGAAATCGTAGAAACATTCCCAAATTCAGTCCATTTCCAAGCAGTAGGACAAATCGTTGTTCTGTTACAGGATAAGAAAAAATAACTACAGGCAAACCATGCTGATCATTCAACAACTCATCTCGAAAATGTTCCTGATCAGGAAATCCTAGGTTAAAGCCCGAATATAATTCATAAGCATCATCAAATCTCATGAAACCTCCTTGAGATGGGAGTAATAAAGTTTCCAAAATAGCAACCAAACCTGCCAGTTTCTCTCGTTTCCTCTCTGCTTTGCATCCTTCTAATAGCGATACCAGTCGTATTGAGCAGTTTTCCACCGTGCACTTTTGTTGAGATATACGCAAAGATGTACCAGTTGATGATGCAGATCTTGTTAAACCTCGCTTATCATTCCAAGCAAGATGCGGCAAGTTTTCACTTTCTTCGTTCTCACAGCCCGCCATTTTGTTTCTATATAAACACTGAGTCCCAGCAAGACCCAACAATGCTTTTGTTTTACAAAATTGAAACTCCTTTTTTGTCCTTTTAATAAATATATATAAATTTAATTTAATTTAAATTTACCTATCCTATTTTGAAACAATCTTGATCCATAATTTCCTTCAAAAATATTGAAATTAATACCTTCAAATCTAAATGTTTCCCGCGAAAATATTAGCCTGCGAGCAGGCTAATTATTACCGAGCGCGTACTGGGTTCCAGTAGTTGAATTTTCAAAATGGCGGACTTGCACCTGCAGGAGGTTCGTGAATGGTTTACAAAAAATAATCTTAGTGAATATGCTGAAGTCTTTATTTCAAATGGCTTTGATTCCATAGAATTGATTCTAGAGTGTGTTGACAAAACATTGTTAGAAGGGCAGTTCTCTCAGCAAATATGTTTACCTGGAAAAAGACATCAGCTCATGTTGGCAATCAAGCGACAAAAGGAGGGAAAATCCCTAGATTTTTCGAAAGAAAAGGTCGTGTTTGATTGGTTCAAAGAAAATGAAATTGGCAGTTATTTTGATGATTTTGTTTCCAAAGGATATGATGAATTAGAAGTCATTATCGAGACAATTACAGAGGAAATTCTCGAGAAAGAGTTTTCGATAGAGATTCCACTACTTGGACAAAGGAAAAAAGTGGCATTGGCGGTGAGAAAGGCAAAACAAAGAGCACATTTGACACCGACTGGCAGCGTTACAACATCTAAAGAACGTACTGTTAATAGCTTTTTAAAGTGGACTGACAAAGCACTTGGTATAAATGAGCCATGGAAAAAGTTATCCCTTGGCTATATTCCTTATCCAAAAGGTGAACGTTCACTGGCCTACATGAAACTTTTACCAGTGTTTTATGAAGCAGTGTGGCCTTATTGCCAGGCTGAGAATGTCTTCCGCAAGCTGTTTATGGAAGAAAGAAGCAGGCAATATGGTACATCTACAAAAATATCATCAATTAGTAAAAAAATTGAATTCATGAAAGGTGAAAATCCTGCAGCTTGTGGTCGGTATTTGAAAGAGTCTTATATCGCAAAATCCCATGATACAAGGGTTTTGTCACAACACATTAGTAAGTTAATTGAATCTAAGGCAGAGGTGATTAAGATGAAAGATGACCTAGCTACCATTGATCAAAGTCTATTTGAAAAGAAAGGTATGTTGGTTAAACGTAGCAAAGTGCCACATCACAACTATAATTTGTCAGCAATTGCACAGCTAAATGAATTGCAAAAAGACATCTCTGAACTTGTTGTTCAACTTGAGGAAAAATACCAAGTGTTTACCAATGCATTCAGAGGTCTAGCTAAAAAGGCACCTGTTTCACACGCTAGGAAAAGAAAGCAGAACAAACAGAAAGCAGACAAAAGAAAAAGAGCAAGATCTGAAAAGCAACTTATGGCAGTGATGCAAAAGATAGCACCTTCAGTTGTGTTTTTCGAAAAGGTTGATACTCAAGATATTATAATTGAAGAGGTCAAAAGCTTAAAAAAACGAGAATCACAAGTATTGTATAACGCCGTGAACTCGGGATTTGTTAATAGTATAACTGAGGAAGCTAAAAAAATTATTGCAGATTTATTACCTGGTGAGCTGCATGTTACACCTGATTATGAAGATGATAGCAGTGAGGATTCTGAAGATGATAGCAGTAAGGAATCCTAGACTTAGTGGGTAGATTTTACATGAAGATAAAAGTAATAATACATTGAAATTCATAGTTTTAATTGTTTAGAAAAGACTATAAATAGAAATTTTGTGAATTGTGCTTCTTTGTTAAAGATGAGATAGTTGATAGATTCTAGACCTTTCTACCATTCTTGATCCACATTTTTTCCAAATTCTATAAAATTATATTGGTGATTTTTTCACTGATTTTTTTTTATGACCCCCTCAATTTATACCAAAACTATAAGAAGACCCACCCCTTTGAAGCACGTCAAAATTAGATGACCCACCCCCAAATTCCTCCGGCCCACCCCCCCAGCTAAAAAATGAATGCTCCCTAAAGTTGTAGTTATTCTCCTCTTAACTACCGATCTTTTACTTCGAATACGTGTTTCTTCCAACGAAACGCTACCAAATTCACTTTCAACCACACGATTTGCTTCAGAACCATGAACAGACATATTTATATCATACAAATAATTCCACTATACCAATTCAATCCGACGTAGAAGGACCATTTAATATTACCACCAGCTTAGGGCCATCCCAACTAACGACTGGGGCAACAATAATTAACATTAAACCAAGAAAAGTACCAAAACTTTATAAAGAAACATGAATATATTCCAAACCAAAACACACTAAAAAACTATATTTTTGTCTCTCGAGCACACTTTCATCCGGGAATCTTCGGGGCTTTTCCCCGGGACCCCGTACGCGTTCGTATTTCGCATAATAAATGAAATATGAATATTCAAATCAGTCTGAACAGGTTTCTTATTGGATAGATTTAATTGAACATAATGTTTATGCAAAGGCGGAGCCAATTTGACAAGAGCGAAAAGTGGGCGTATTTCGTTTCTTGATGTGTTGTCGGCAGTCCCTCATTTCTTCGAGGGACTGCTCGCGGTCTATTTATCTGTTTAAATGTAATTTGTTTGTCTTCAATAGTTATCTTGCAACTATTGCAACTTGCAAGTCGGGACGCTCTCTCATTCAATATTAGTCCAAATTTGATCAAATTTTCAGAATATAATGATTGTAAATAGATCTCAAACCTAAACCTCAAAAATCTTATTTATCATCATTATAATATATCTATAAAAATTTTTTTTGTCTAAAATACCCAACTTTTGCCGATTTTGAAAAAAAAAAATTTTTAATGAAATCTTGTTTAATACATCATGTTTAATACATCTATCGACTTTCCTTCAAACTTAACTATATATTTTGATGACCATTATTACTCTTGCTCTCGAAAAAGGGGCACTTTTTCAGTATATAGAAGGGTGTGGCTTGGTAACTATGGAAACAGCACATATGAAGTTTGTATTTTTGGTGTCAGCAAGTGATGTTCTATCATATGCAACCTAAACGAAGTTCATAATACTATTGTCCCAGACCACCTTATTCAACAGAAAGCGTCCTCCTTCGCTGCCCACGCCTGATGCCAAAGTGGGCGGATATTTAGATTCGAGAACTTCTCTAATCGGCTCACGAACAACAACGTGTCTCGTAAGCGACGACAGAATATAATCTGCGCAGGTGAGGTGTTGCAATCTGGATGGGGGCTGTTGCGCAACTGGAGCATGGCACGAAGGAATCGGTCGTAGTCCAGGTTGCCTGTGGGGCCTGTATTGGATGCCAAAAGACGCTTAGCAGTTTTAACTGCTACCTAGCTCTGCTCTGTCATTCGATTGGGGGGAAGTAGGCAGAGCAGACACGGTGGCGGACACCCCAGCGGTGGAGGAAGTCCTTTGTGTTCCCTGCTGTGAACTCTGGGCCCCCATAGCTTGATAACTCATCCGGTACCCAAAGTGTTGCAAAGAATGAACGAAGGTGGCGGATAAGGCTGGCTGCACCTGCGAGGTTGGTGCTTGTTGTGGAGCTGAGCACATCTACGTATCCTGCTTCGAGTGGAGTCGATGGTACGTGGTAGGGAGGGGAGGGGTGGCGTAGCGGCTTGTGAGGGAGCATTACGGTTACAGTCTGCACACCCTTCCCTTGTTGCCTTAATGTCCTTCGACATACCTAGCCAGTATACTATCTGACGGGCACGTTGTTCCATTGCTGATGTCCCTTGATGAGCTGCGTGGAGACTATATATGGAGGACTTGGTGGCGGAGTGATGATGGAACAATTACTCGGTCCTGATACAGGAGGATACCCTCGTCTTCGTAAATGGATTCGCGAATGGGCCAAAACGGAGCAAGAGAGGGGCAGTGCAGTTGGTGACTTTGTTTCCATGCTCAATCTGTGAAGGGATGCAGCTGTCATTTTGTGCGATGAGTGACCAAGAAATGGAGTTCCTGGGTGTCATTGTTGACAGATGCCATCAGGGCAGATTCTAATAGGTCAAGGAGGCTTGGTGGTACTGATGATATACTATTTAGAGTGCCTGAGAGTGATGAGTGTCTTGATGTTGCATCTGCTGCATGGTTACACTTGCCAGGTAGGTGCTTTATTTCAAACCGCCATGGGAGGATACGTTACTTGAGACGGACAGGGGTGAGTTAGTGATGTCGTCCAGTGTGCTGTCACCAAGAATCTTCACCGCCTAACGGACATTACTTCCTGGGCTTTCACCCGCCCTTCACCTGCCATGTAGCGGAGACATGTACGCTTCTGTATGTCAAAGATTTCCACACCCTGACGGATAGTTCACTACCTGGTTGATATCATCAACCAAATTTTGATGTCATATCTGTCGTTGATGCTGGGGAGGAAAACTTCCTGATGGCGTCAAGATATTTCGGGAGAGGCTCGATGGTTGAGTCTGATACTCTCAAACCAGCAAAATCAACGCTCCTCTGTGCAAACTGGAACTTGTCTGGATTTAACACGATACCAGCTGACCTGACCAACACGAATAAGCAGGTCAATTGTCCGCCATCTTGCTGTTCAAGGTCAGAGTCGTAATATATGGTGTCGTCAACCCAACGTTCCTTGCGCTCAAATGTCGAGAGGACTGCGTCAAAGCGACGATTGTAGCCGTCCCCTGACGAGAGGAAACGATCAAACGGAGTGATAAAGGTTGTAAGGTGGCGGTCGGTTTTGCGAAGAGGAACGCTATGGTAGCCATTTCACGCGTCTGTTACCGTTTACCAATTTTAATTTCCGCGTTGTTTTCTGACACTTTTTCATTTCCGTGTTGTTTTCTGGTGTACATGGAAATGGAAGTTCAGATGGACGTGGTGAGGGGACTGAACGTGCAGGGCAAGGGCATGGGTCGCGTGGGATGCGTGGTTCTGTGCAGTCGTTCATTGACCGTACAGCACTGATGGTTGGTGGTTCATGCTGATCGGCAGGGACTCGGGGTTCGTTAGTGCTGGGCGTGTTGTTGGAATCAGCTGCATTGTTGAGGAGTGGAAAATTGTTGAAAAGAAGGCAGTGCGACGCTGGAGCGGCGTCTAAATCAATTAAGTTCGGCAGGTTTTGATTAAGTTCGACACGACTCGAAGATGCGATAAGACAAGTATATGCGACACAAGTTCGACAATGATTTAGGCGCCGTGCTTTTCATGCGCCGAACCTAATGTATAATTATTTTTTAACATAATATGATTATCATATATTAATAGCATTGTAAATATGTCCAATATAGTGTCCTCGCAATTTGATACGGCACAATTAAGTTCGACGTCTAAATCAGTTTCCAATATTTTGCCGTATCCACGGCAATAGGAGTGTATCTAAAAGTCGAGAGTCGAGAGTATAGGTCGAGAGTCGAGAGTAAAAAGTCGAGAGTAAAAAGTCGAGAGTCGATCGAGAGTAAAAAGTCGAGAGTCGGCAAATGTCATCAGAAACAACAAACTCAAAATATTTTTAACACAATATATAACCGATCCGTAACAATGGCTGATTATAGCCGTACGGGCGAGGGGGGCAGTCCCGCCTCCCAGTCAAAATAAAGTCATGCAAATTATAAACGTATAAATTCGGGCAAAAATTGGGGGAAATAAATTTAAAAAGAAGACAGTACATGCAATATAGCAATATTCTTTACATAGCCATTCCGTAACTGAAGTACCAACGGCTGAAATACAAACTTTCCAATAAATATTGCTACAACAGTCAATAATAATAACGTGAACAACTAAGATTGGATAAGAAAATAATATCGTATTTGATGCCTCAATCTTGCTAAATGTTTTCACATTTCATTCTAGCTAACTGACACATAAACTCCGCTGAATTTTGACAGCCATCTCCAGGCAGTGGCGGAAATCTTGGTGGGCCGGGGGGCGGCCGCCCCCCCCCCCCACCTTCACGGAAAATTGCCGAATTTTCTGAAATTTTGGCCTAAAAGAGGCCTAAAAACAGTCTTTTCGAGTGCAAATGGGGGGGGGGGTACGTCGTAAATCAAGTTTTGTCGAAAATTTAGGAGGCTTTGCCCCCCCGGAAAAAGTGAATTTCCGCCACTGTCTCCAGGCTTGTAACTAAAATGTCACTTATTCATTAACGTACGTTTATATCAAACGAGAGCCTATTAAGAAATCCACGTTGATCACAATCTAACGATTCATACAATTGTGAATTCATAAATACGAGCCAGTAAAAATAGGATTCTTTTGACGTAATATGTCTCGCACGTGATTGTAAAGTCCTAGTATTTATATGTCGCTTCACATATGAGTAATTTTTCGCGGAAATAGGTGCATGTAAAAGCGGGAAGGATGGACAGTAATATATAAGGAAGCGATAAAACTAGTTATTAGATAATAGTTATTATTATTGAATGTTGTGGCTAAATTCAGTTTGCGAAAGTTTTTGTTTTATATTATACTGGATTATTCCTTTGATTGTATATGCCTCTTGTTTACTTTAATTTCGAGAATTTGAGCATACTAATTATGTTTCGCAAATATTGTTTGCTTTATGTTCCGATACACAGGAATTAAAATTAGTTCAGCCGTCATAGGCGTACGGGCGGGAGCCAGAAAGAAAATTTACCCGACTTTTACCAACTGAATAAAATTTTCCGTGTAACTAAATTTCCAAAATTGTCGTTGGGAAGTAGACAAAAATATTTCCTATTTGTCGATTCCTCGTTACTTTTACATATTTCTGATATTTTCAAATACAATATTGCATGTACTGTCTTCTTTTTAAATTTATTTCCTCAAATTTTTGCCCGAATTTATACGTCTATAATTTGCATGACTTTATTTTGACTGGGGGGTGGGCTGCCTCCCCCCGCCCGTACGGCTATAATCAGCCGTTGTTACGGATCGGTTATATATTGTGTTATAAATATTTTGACTTTGTTGTTTCTGATGACATTTTCCGAATCTCGACTTTTTACTCTCGATCGACTCTCGACTTTTTACTCTCGATCGACTCTCGACTTTTTACTCTCGACTCTCGACTTTTTATTCTCGACTCTCGACTTTTTACTCTCGACTCTCGACTTTTTACTCTCGACTCTCGACTTTTTACTCTCGACTCTCGACCTATACTCTCGACCCTCGACTTTTAGATACACTCGCAATATGGTATTTGAAATTATAAAATAACATGTATATAACGCGTATTCTGATTGGTCGAAAGCCGTGTTTGGATCAGGCCATCCAAACACGGAAGTACGGTGGCCCATACGGGCCAACCCTTCTCCGTAGAAACTTGCACCTTCTCCGTACAAATGTGTTGTTATTCCATGGAAATCAAACTTCTCCGTGGAATATTGCCGTTGCTCTGTCACGGAAAGCCTTTTCTCCGTAGAAATATGCCGTTTCTCCGTGGAAACACGCATCTTCTCCGTGGAAACACGCAGCTTTTCTGTGGAAACACCGCAGCTTCTCCGCGGAAACGCGTAGCATTTCTGTGAAACACGATGCGGTGGCCCGAACGGGGCACCTCTTCTCCGCAGAAACATGCAGCTTCTCCGTAGAAACATGCATCTTCTCCGTAGAAACACGTGCCTTCTCCGTGGATGAGCACTTTCCTTGTGAATTAAAAAAGGCACGCCCCCCTGAATATTTATTGTTTTATACGACGGGGGGGAGGAAGAGAAAATAAAGTCACAAGTCAACATCGTGGTCAAAACATTACAAGCCAATTTTATAAATATGAATACTTTAATATGGGCACAGATATCCAGCATATAAATTGTGAGAATTGCCAGGCAGAGATTTCGATCGTTTATAGCTTTTGTAACAATTGTGGAAATAGATACATACTATAAAGTTTTACTTTTTTATATTTATGTTATCATTTTTATTTGTGGATTTATATTTTTATAAATTGAATATTTAAATATACAACGTATTAATCTGTCAGTCAGTCTCGTATGCGGATCTGCTAGTGTAGGTATGGATATACAAATACCTACACTAGCAGATCCGCATGCGAGACTGACTGACAGATTATTAAATACGGTGTATATTTAAATATACAATTTATAAAAATATAAATCCACAAATAAAAATGATAACATAAATATAAAAAAGTAAAACTTTATAGTATGTATCTATTTCCACAATTGTTACAAAAGCTATAAACGATCAAAATCTCTGCCTGGCAATTCTCACAATTTATATGCTGGATATCTGTGCCCATATTAAAGTATTCATATTTATAAAATTGGCTTGTAATGTTTTGACCACGATGTTGACTTGTGACTTTATTTTCTCTTCCTCCCCCCGTCGTATAAAACAATAAATATTCAGGGGGCGTGCCTTTTTTAATTCACAAGGAAAGTGCTCATCCACGGAGAAGGCACGTGTTTCTACGGAGAAGCTGCATGTTTCTACGGAGAAGCTGCATGTTTCTGCGGAGAAGAGGTGCCCCGTTCGGGCCACCGCATCGTGTTTCACAGAAATGCTGCGCGTTTCTGCGGAGAAGCTGCGGTGTTTCCACAGAAAAGCTGCGTGTTTCCACGGAGAAGATGCGTGTTTCCACGGAGAAACGGCATATTTCTACGGAGAAAAGGCTTTCCGTGACAGAACAACGGCAATATTCCACGGAGAAGTTTGATTTCCATGGAATAACAACA